ATCATCTATGTAAAGGACAGAATAGACAAAGAGACATTGTTTGGGGTTTCAGCTACCTGTGCTTTAAACCTTAATGTTGTGGCTGGAAAAATAGTATAGTCAGAACCAGGGGCAGACTGACAACTCATTGGGGCCCCCAGGCAATAGGAGATCATGGGGCCCCTGTGTCCTTGCCCAAACTCAAAAAAGCCTATGAAAAAGGTACCAGGGGCATCTCATGGGGCCCCCTACTGACCCCGGGCCCTCGGGCAGTGCCCGAGTTCCCAAATGGTCAGTCCGCCCCTGGTCAGAACAGCTGTATGTAGTTTAGAATAAAAATAAACATTAGCTGCTCTGGATGTACATCTGACTAACAGGGTTTAAAGCAATCATTTTGAATGTGTCTACCCTCTGTCCTGAAATGAGGAATAATCCTCTTATTTTTGGTATATTGAATTGGAATGAGACATTTGAATACCTTCTGTTTCAAGAAAAGTTTACTGTTCTAGGCACTGATTAGAGTGAGCACTTATTTACTGCTTTGCCTTTTCTCCATATGGTTAATATGTCATCATTTTCAAGATTTGTTCTAGAGATCATCAAAGTGAAAGTGATAGAAACTACAGTATATCATCAGAAACTAGACTGAGGATGCTGAGGATCCTGACATTGGTGTTAAGCTAAGTGGCAGTAAGCATTGTACATTGGCCAAGAAAACAAGAACAGATGGAGCTAAATATTCAGAAACAGTGTTAGAGAACTCTTTAGATCGCGAAAAATTGATTCTTCCTGAAGTAATCTTGAAGCTCTGGATGGAAGAGGTCCAGTTAGAACTGGTGCAAACTTATTTAACCTCCCTGGCGGTATGATTATTTCAGATTTTTGGTGCTGAAAAGCGGTACCATTTTTTTGCATGGAAATATGTATTTTTTTTATTGTAGGCTGTAATATTTTTAGGGAAAAACTCACTGAAATCTGTCCGAACAATAAGTCTAGTAAACATCCGGGTATGATAAAATTTGAAAAACACAAAATCATAAATTATAATTTAATAAATAATCATAAAAATAATATAAAAAATAATAAAAAAATTTAATTCAATAATATAATCAAACCAAAAACACTGAAATGTGAAATAGAGCGCCAAGTTCGCACATTGCTGAGCTCAGTCGCAAAATCGTTTTCAGTTTCTGATGACGAATTTCCCCCACGAATCATTATCACTCAATTCTCTAAGTGGTTCTGATTTTACTATCGCTGTTCTCTAGCTGATCTAAACTGAATTTTTTGACCTAAAGGGACACTTTTTGGACGCCATGGACATTTCTCAGTTTCCAGGCAGAAAGAACAGACAAAATGCAGGCAGGGCGCAGGACAAAGCACTAGGGACAATATGTATGTGAAATAGGTTGAAACAGCAATGTTTTACTGTGTAAAATGAAAAAAAAAAAAATGAAATTTTTTTAAAATTTTTATTAAATTTCCCGCCGCCGGCGGCGGCGGCGCCCGTACGTCCCGACGTCACAGGGACAGGACACAGAAGCCGGAAATCGGCCGGAGGAGATGGCCGGGGACGCTGCAGGGGACACATCGCGGGAGCGCAGGGTAAGGTAAGTGAAGAACACATGCCGGAGCAGTGCCGCATGGTATTCCCGAGTGTAGCTCGGGTTACCGCTCTTGGTACTGAAAATGTTACCCCGAGCTACACTCGGGAATACCGCCAAGGAGGTTAATGTTGTTATTCTGGGTGCCAATAATAAATTCAGTATTTATTTCAGAGAGTTGTACATAGTTAGTGAAGGTATAAATATCACAATCAACAACAACAGTCATTACAGTGGAAGCCACTGACAAAAATTAAGGATCCAAAGCTCAGATGACATATATCTTTTGGTAAAACCTTACATAATACATATGCTAGTTTTCTTATTAGCCATATTGAATGACAATTCTCCGATTGTATCCATTGCCTTATTGTCTTCACTTCTCATTTTGGAAATTCTTCACTTAGAACAATTGTAACCTTTTATTAGATTCCATGATTGAAAGTTCAGAGGAAATGGAGAAGTTGGCAGGTATATCATGGAAAATCTCAGTTGCTTTCATACACGTAACAGAAGCATCTTTTTCCTAATAAATTAATACATTGGTGAAATCAGCACATGTATCTTTTAGCAAAAAGGACATTCTGAATCATGGTATCCCTTCCCTTGTTTCCATGTTCTGCTGCCATAGTCCAATTCCAGCAACATTGTGTTATGTGATGTATCCCAGAAGCCTGTATAAGCAAGGTATATCTTTCTCCCATAGCCAAGAAAAACCAGCATTAGATTGAAAAAAAAGAAAAAGCCAGCTTTTTATATGGGGGGAGGGGGGACCTAAAGTCCTTTAAGGCGGTAGTGATCCAATGTAAGTCTTTCTGTTGCAAACAATTTTCAACTGGTAGTTCCCAAAATTAGATAATAAAAATCCTCTGCCACATTTGCACATGTGTCTAGAATATCTTTAGCATTTATGTCTGTGTTATTAAAGTACCTAATATGGTGTATATCATAATAAAATTCAGAGATGCAATACCTAAACCTTAGTCTAAGTCATCCTGTTGATCCATGAATACTCTTCGTGGATAGTTATGGGACCCTGTCACTGCTCTATTCATACATTTGTGCAGGTTTGGATCCAGCAGACAGTGATGTTGATTTACTAAATTAAAATAGGCTGTTAACTTTGCATGGACATTTTCCCTTAGCTTAGTAAATAAAATGATGCTGTATTGACTTCCATCATCCAGTCATGTGCAAGCAAAACTACTGTTTTTTTTTTTATTTTCATTCCTTTGAAAATTGAAAATTCCCTTGCAACATGAATGCCTTTAAAAATCTACCCCAGTGACTCTGCCTATATGCCAAATCAAAATTTCCCTATGGAGGATTTAATTTACAGATGATTCTGGACTTGTAAATGAGGACCTAAAAGAAGCTGTACATGCTAATAGTGTCACCAAATCATAATGTCACTGTGGAATATTTATGACATAGTGATTCAGAACTTGGAGATGAGAGCATAAAGAAACTGTACATACCAACATTGCCATACAGGTAAGTGTCTAAAATATTTTTTTTAGCTAAGCATTCGGTATACTGTAATGTTGAATGATTTTTAAACATTATATACAGTACCTTTTTTTATATATTTTATAAGCAGTTATAGTGATTTTACACAAAAATATCTTTATATCTTGTTGGATATTTTCTAACATACAAAACACCATAACCTTAGTCAAGTGTTTTGTCTCATTACATTTTGCACTGTTCTGATACACCATTATAAATCAACTATATAAAACCTTTTAAAATTATGAAGAATTTGAAGAAACCTCTCGTGTATCGTTTTGTTACTGTATTGTCTCAGGCACTGTCGCCCACTATAATGTAAAGCGCTGAGCAAACCTTTTGGCGCTATATAAATACTGTATAATAATAAATGCAATAGACTGGAAAGTACTACTGCCGATAACTGGCAAGTCTGAAAGGATGCATCTACACTGATAATCAGGGCCCTAATTATCAGTGCCCTGATTACCAGTGCAACCCCAAAAGTGCCCATCAGTGCTCAGCAGTGCTGCCAGTCTGTGTCCAGCAGTGATGCCACTGCTCTGTGCTCTGCCCCTCCAGGGCTCACTGGAGGGCCGAACTATGGAAGGAGCAGGAGCAACTGGTTCAGGCTGCCAGTATGGCATCTTGGTGGATCCCGACATTATTGTCAGGATTCTTGCAGAGCCTGGATCAGCTCTGTGATGCAAGTCGACAGCTTGCTTTAGCCCATTGTCTGCTGAATCTGAGTCAAAGGAGTGCAGAAATAAGTGCAGAATCCACAGGAGAAAGTTTCAAACTTCCACTTCATTTCTTATGATGATTGCCAATATTATCTTAAATTTGGGTTAGTGCTTTAGTCCTGAGGAAATAAATAAGTCTCTCACAGGTATTTCAATTTATTAGGTGAAATTTTCAATTGTTAGATTTTTTTGCCAAGCAAATCATCTAAAAACAATTCAGGCTAGGGTAAACTGCACTTATTAGGGTGTATGGTTTACTTACCAGTGCATTCAGTTCTCCTTTAAAGACAACCCCCCCCCCCCCCAAACCAAGCCAAACCAAGATCTGGTTCAAGTTCTATACTAGTATGCTAAACCATTTGAAAACAGATTTGTTTGTATACTTAAGCATTTCTTTATTGAAGTGCAGATACTAATGTCTATATACAAATATTCTAAATCAGCAATGTTTTAATAGAAATTAGGCTATTCTTATTATTATTATTCTTATTATTATTTTATATGATTTAACTATAGGATTTATGCTAATCATCTGAAAGTTTACCACAGTTTTTTTTTAATGGAATGTTTAGTTAATGCAGGATTTTTATGTAAAGGGTGTCTTCATATTGCCATTTGTAATCAGGTTTGTCACAAATTACAATTATACTATATTGCCAAAAGCACTGGGATGCCTGCCTTTACACGAACATGAACTTTAATGGCATCCCAGTCTTTGTCTGTAGGGTTAAATGTTGAGTTGGCCCACCTTTTGCAGCTAGAACAGCTTCAACTCTTCTGGGAAGGTTGTCCACAAGGTTTAGGAGCGTCTATGGGAATATTTGACCATTCTTCTAGAAGCATATTTCTGAGCTCAGGCACTGATGCCAGACGGGAAGGCCTGGCTCACAGTCTCCGCTTGAAGTCATGTTGGAACAAGAAGGGGTCATCTCCAAACTGTTGCCACAAAGTTGGGAGCATGAAATTGTCCAAAATGTCTTGGTATGCTGATGTCTTTAAGAGTTCCTTTCACTGGAACTAAGGGCCAAGCCCAACCCCTGAAAAACAACCCCACACCATAATCCCCCTTGGCACAATGCAGTCAGGCAAGTCATTCCCTTGGCAGCCTCCAAACCCAGACATGTCCATAGGATTTCCATACAGGGAATCATGATTTATCACTCCAGAGAACACGTCTCCACTGCCCTAGAGTCCAGTGGCAACATGCTTTACACCACTGCATCTGACGCTTTGCATTGCACTTGGTGATATAAGGATTGGATGCAGCTGCTCGGCCATGAAAACCCATTCCATGAAGCTCTCTACATACTGTTGTGCTAATCTGAAGGCCACAGGAAGTTTTGAGGTCTTTAGCTATTGACTCTGTAGATAGTTGGTGACTTCTGAGCACTATGCGATTCAGCATGCACTGACCCCGCTTTGTCATTTTCCGTGGCCTAACACTTCATGGCTGAGTTGCAGTTGTTCCCAGTTGCTTCCACTTTGTTATAATACAGCTAACAGTTGACTGTGGAATATTTAGTAGCAATTTATTGCACAGGTGACTTATTGCACAGGTGACAACCTATCACATACCACGCTTGAATTCACTGAGCTTCTGTGAGTGACCCATTCTTTCACAAATGTTTGTAGAAGCAGTCTGCATGCCCTGAGGCTTGATTTTATACACCTGTGGCCATGAAGGTGATTGGAACACTGAACACCATAATTTGGAGGGGTGTCCCAATACTTTTAGCAATATAGTGTATGTCATGCAAAGTGTTCATATGTAAAAATAGAAGGTAACCAGCAGTATTTGATTAAGAAATATCTTTTTAGAACTTCAGTTCCTAACCTTGATCAGCCCCTGCCTACAAACATGTGTTCACTGAAAATTAATTCTCCAACAGTTGAAAACATAGTGGCTGTTTCTTTGATAGAGATGTTTATTAATTTATTTTTTTTGTTGGATGTTGGTTTGATTGATTGCGCACAAGTATTGGTAATTTTATTTGTATTTATTTTCATATGCATCTATGTATTTATGATTGATGGAATTTTGATTTGATAGTAAGTGAAGTGTTTTATGCTAGGACGAGTAGCGCCACACATTGATTAATCAATTTTCAGTATTCTTTCATATTAAAAACGAGAATTATGGTTTCATTTGATTTCTGTGTATTGCCATTTTAACAGATGTCACAACACATAATGTGTTTAAATAAAATGAAAATAAACATACTTTTTTACTTCAAAGTTTTTTAGTAAATAATTTAATCTGGATTGAGCTATTGGTAGTGATTATTAAGTAACTTCAGATTTTTTTAATGATCTGCTTAACGCAAATTTTTTTAATTAGTGCACATTTAAATCTAATGAAAAACATAAATGGCACAAGTATTTGAATGAGAAAATGTTTTTTGAAGTGCAATTCCTAGCTTTGGCCTCAGAGTGCTGCTGTTAGACCAATAAGCAGAGGAATGCAGAGCAGGAGATGGTATTTTTTGTGCTGCTGGTATGTTATTCACTAGCTCATACTGCATACAACATAGCTGAGAAAGGAATACATTCATTGTCTAAATTTTCTCTGCACAGAAGCCTCTTGTTTGCAACCACAAAATGTAAATTATTGTATGAGCATTTCAACTGCAGAGCTAAAAAATGGATAATATGTAACACCAGATGAAGATTCCCAAAGAAATCAAATGGCAGGTAATATTTTCTTCTTATTTTCCTGGTTGTGTCATTCAGTCTCTGGTCAGATTCATTATTTTTTTTGCAGAAGAAATAAGAAAGTACTCTGTTATAGGGAATGTTGTAGATGATCTTGGGTTAGATATTAAACAGCTCTCAGCTAGAAATTTGCGGATTGTATCTGATATTTCAGAGAAATATTTGTGTGTAGATATAAACAATGCAAATATTTATGGAAAGAACAGGACAAAGATACACTGTGTAGGACACCAAATGGAAGATACCTCACATTTACTTATGATTAATTGAAAATAATAATATTTGTTTATTAAATTTCCTTAATGTTATGTTATTGCATTTCCTTAGTGTCAATGTTTTTTCGTGATACCATGACTATAGAAATTATTGAGCTTATAATACCCAGAGTTAGATTTGCTTTGGAAAGTGCACAAATATGTAGATTTTGGTATGAATTCAGTGAAAGTTCAGTGATAGTCATCATTTTGCATTAACTGGAATTGATTTTTTATGTTCTGGTTGGAGGAAAGGACATTAAAACTGCTATGGCCTTAAATAAAGTAATAATTAAATATGCCAATGAAAACTGCTCCAATAGTTACTCAAGAAGAGTATGATGTTAGAATCGATGGAAAGTTTACAATCAACTCAAGCATATTTACAGTAGAGGCAACAAAGATGAAGGCACCTATACACAGATCTCATATTAATCAAGTAAAACTTCAGAAAGCGTTCAATATAAAAGGGGAAATAATACTAATAAAAATTAGATTTTGAGGAACTACAGATTTATGAAATATCTGAACAAGCCAAGGATGGAATAGGTACTATTTAAAGTACTGCAAAGTAAGTACTAGTAGATGTAACATATGATAATGCTCCCGGGATATCTCTCACTTCTTTATCATCTCCTAATTCCTCAGAATTCAGCACCTAGATAGTGATTGCTGTCGTAAGTGTCAAAGATCGAGATTTTGGAGAAAATGGGGACATTGACTGTTAGATATTACAGAACAGATTACAGTCAGTTCATGCATTCCACAAATTGGTTACCACAAATGCAATGGACAGAGAAACAGTAATATAATATCACTACTGTAGCTACTGACAGAGGATCTCCTTACCTTTCTAGTAGAAGAACCAGCAAGATTGTTTTTAATTGACAGTCCATCAACATTTATAAAATCTACTTATGTTGCTTATATACCAGGAATGACATGCCAAGTGCCTCAATTTATGTTTACATTTCAGATTCTGATGATGGGTACAATGCTAAAATTGTCTATTTAATTTTAAATAGAAAGACAAAAGATCGCTAGGTGTCTACTTATCTATGAATCATTAGGGAAAAAGACTTTCTTTCCCTGAATCTAAACCTCTGTAAAGTAATACCACTTTGTTTATCTGAATGGTAGATCTAAAAAAAATGCTTAACAAAATTTTGTACCCATGAGCATAAAATAACTTAGATGTGTTTATGATAGTTCCTTTACATCTGAAAATGATTTTTAATAGCAAAGGTATTTGCAACGGATGATGACTGTGGACACAATGCTTGACAGTCTTATCATTTCTTGCAAGTCTCAGACCATTTTTTTTCATCATTAATGAACACACTGGAAAAATCAAAACCCCGCTAATTTTTTCAGGAAAAGGATGCATTAAATTACAATTATTGTCATGCAAAGGACAATGGAAAACCATCGCTATTAGCTACTATCACCTTACTTCTAGTTAATATTAATAATCTTCAGTAAGTTGCTCCCAGAATTAATAATTATATAAAGGATGAAGAGTCTAGTTCAAATTTACACTTCCACTTTATTGTTGGCTTAGCTCCAATTGTCACCGGTGGTTCAGAATTTGGGAATAAAAGCTGAAAAGAAAAATGGGCTACATATCATATTGACCATGAAAGCCTTATTCTGTACAAATTATAGTTTATTCAGGTTTATGCTATTTACCATTGTCTGAATGTTTTTATTAATATTGATATGTGAGATATTTAATATATGTGATATATATACGTGCAGAAAATGATAGACTGCTCAGCTAAAATGATTGCAAACGCTTTAAAATGGCAACCAAAACCTGAAAGACGTGGAAGAAAGTGAAAAACTACCATTCGAATGGATAGAAGAATAGCCAAAATGGCAAGGACTCAGCCAACAATCAGCTCCTGAAAGATCAAAGAAGGTCTAAAGTTACCTGTGAGAACTGTTACAATTAGAAGATGCCTATGTGAAGCCAAGCTATCTGCAAGAAGCCCCCGCAAAGTCCCACTGTTGAAAAAAAGACATGTGCTGAAGAGGTTAAAATTTGCCAAAGAGCACACTGACTGGCCTAAAGAGACATGGCGCAACATTTTGTGGACTGATGAAAGTAAGATTGTTCTTTTTGGGTCTAGTGGCCGGAGACAGTTTGTCAGACGACCCCCAAACACTGAATTCAAGCCACAGTACACTGTGAAGACAGTGAAGCATGGTTGCGCAATCATCATGATATGGGGATGTTTCTCATACTACGGTGTTGGGCCTATTTATCGCATACCAGGGATCATGGATCAGTTTGAATACATCAGAATACTTGAAGAGGTCATGCTGCCTTATGCTGAAGAGGAAATGCCCTTGAAATGGGTGTTCCAACAAGACAACAACCCCAAACACACCAGTAAACATGCAACATCTTGGTTCCAGACCACCAAGATTGACGTCACGGAGTGGCCAGCCCAATCCCCGGATTTTAATCCAATAGAAAACTTGTGGGGTGACATCAAAAATGCAGTTTCTGAGGCAAAACCAAGAAATAGAGAAGAACTGTGGAATGTAGTCCAATCATCCTGGGCTGGAATACCTGTTCACAGGTGCCAGAACTTGGTTGACTCCATGCAACACAGAAACAGTGCTTATACAACTAAATATTAATTAAGTGATTCAAAGGAAAGCAAAATCTTCAAAAATTTTTCAGTTTATATAGTGAATGTTTGAGTTTGTAAAGAAGAATACAAACACTGCTACTATTTTTTTGAACAGTCTAATATTCACTTTTCTTCCATTTTTTTTAGAGGAACAATACAAATTTGATATATTTTTCTTCATGTTTTGATTTGGAATAGAATGTGTAGTGTTCCCAATGCATTTGTGTGTATGGAAATAAAAGCTATTAGAAGGATTTTGAGCTTTATTCACTTTTTTCAACACACTGCTATTATTTTGAACACAACTATATATATATATATATATATATATACAGTTGCAAGACAAAGTATGTGAACCCCTTGGGATTACGTGGAGTTTTGCATGAATTGGGCATAAAATGTGCTCTGAATGTCATCTAAGTCACAACAATAGAAGAACACAGTCTGCTGAACATAATACTACACAAACATTAGATGTTGCCATGGTTTAATTGCACATAACATGTAAACATTCACAGTGCAGGGAGGAAAAAGTATGTGAACCTTTGGACTTAATAACTGTTTGACCCTCCTTTGGCAGCAATAACCTCAACCAAACGTTTCCTGTAGTTGCAGATCAGACCTGCACAACGATCTGGAGTAATTTTGGACCACTCCTCTTCACAAACTGTTTCAGTTAGCAATATTCTTGGGATGTCTGGTGTGAATAGCTCTCTTAAGGTCATGCCACAGCATTTCAATCGGGTTGAGGTCAGGACTCTGACTGGGCCACTCCAGAAGGCGTATTCTGTGCTGTTGCAGCCATTGTTTTGTTGAATTACTTGTATGCTTTGGGTCATTGTCCTGTTGCATCACCCATCCTCTGCGGAGCTTCAGTTGGCGGACAGATGGTTGTACCTTTTCCTTCAAAATGTCTTGATAAACTCTGGAATTCATTTTCCCATCAATGACAACAATCCGTCCAGGCCCTGAGGCAGCAAAGCAGCCCCAAACCATGATGCTCCCTCCGCCATGTTTTACAGTGGGGATGAGGTTTTGATGTTGGTGTGCTGTGCCTTTTTTTCTCCACACATAGTGTTGTGCATTCTTCCCAAACAACTCAATCTTGGTTTCATCTGTCCACAGTATATTTTGCCAGTAGTGCTGTGGAACATCCAGGTGCTCTTTTGTAAACTTCAAACGTGCTGCAATATTCTTTTTGGACAGCAATGGCTTCCTCTGTGGTGTCCTCCCATGTACTCCATTCTTGTTTAATGTTTTCCTTATTGTAGATGTGTCAACAAAAATGTTAGCATGTGCCAGAGATTTCTGTAGGTCGTACGTTCAGAGCACATTTTATGCCCAATTCATGCAAAAACTCCACGTAATCCCAAGGGGTTCACATACTTTTTCTTGCAACTGTATATACACTATGTGGCCAAAAGTATTGGGGCACCCCTCCAAATCATTGGATTTAGGTGTTCCAATCACCTCTATAACCACAGGTGTATAAAATAAAGCACCTAGGCATGCAGACTGCTTCTACAAACATTTATGAATGAATGGGTCGCTCTCAGGATCTCAGTGAATTCAAGCATGGTACAGTGATAGGTTGCCACTTGTTCAATAATTCCATCTGTGAAATTTCCTTTCTACTAAATATTCCATGGTTAACTGTTAGTGGTGTTATAACAAAGTGGAAGCACCTGGGAACAACAGCAACTCAGAAACGAAGTGGTAGGCCATGTAAAATGACAGAGCGGGGTCGGCACATGCTGAAACGCACAGCACGCAGAAGTCGCCAACTGTCTGCAGAGTCAATAGCTAAAGACCTCAAAACTTTGTGTGGCCTTTAGTTTTGCACAACAACAGTACTTAGAGAGCTTCATGGAATGAGTTTCCATGGCCAAGCAGCTGCATCAAAGTCTTACATCACCAAGTGCAATGCAAAGTGGCAGTTGCAGTGCTGTAAAGCATGCCACCACTGGACTCTAGAGCAGTGGAGATGTGTTCTCTAGAGTGATGGATCATACTACTCTGTCTGGCGATCCGATGAACGTCAAACCAAGACCTTTGAGTTTATATAATAAAATAACACATTTTAAAGTTTTGAAACTGCATTTATTTTTTTACATACTACCCTGCTACATTTAAATTCTGATCTGTTTAACTAATGCCTGAAAAGCTTTGGCGTAGAAAGATTTGTCAGTACACCTGAACCATCCTACGACAGCTTGCTTCACTTCATCATCAGTGTTGAACTGCTGACCTCTGAAGAACTCTTTTAGGGGTCCAAACAGGTGGAAATCACTAGGAGGTCTGGGCTGTAAGGCGGATGTGGCAATACCTCCCAGCTGAGTTGCTGTAATGTGCACTGCTTTGATGCTCATTTTAAATCTGGAGTGAAAAGATGTGCTCAGGTTTCATCACATGTAATTATGCGATCCAGAAAATTCTGGCCTTCCCTGTCAAAAAGCTTTTTCAAGTCAGTGCAGACTTCAAATCTTTGATGCTGGTTAAAAGTGGAAAGTCTCTTGGTACCCAGCATGCACTAATTTTTCAAAAATGTAAATGTTCGTAAATGATTGTGTTCACCGTTTCCACAGAAAGATTCATCTCTTGTGCAATTTAATGACAGGTTATGCATCGAATATCCAGGATCAGGTGTTCCACACACTGAATGTTCACAGGAATGACTTCTGTGGGCTGGGGACCACCATGACCGGGAGTGTCATTGACAGACGTACAGCCACCTTTGAAATGTTTACACCAGTCAAATGTAATACTGCGGCTGAACATCTCATCACCGTACTGTACTTGAAGTCTCCCGTAGATAGCCGTGGGTTTTACGCTTTCATTCACAAGAAACTTAATCAAAACACACTGTTCCATGCACGCACTAACATTGTTCTCTGCCACCTTGATTAATGGTCTCTGGACTTCCCCTGACATGTGTGCACCGCCTAGCAGTAATAGAACACACTTACCACTTACTACTGCATATAATACCGCCATGCTAGCATCTCTTTTTAGCTTACCATACAATATTGTTTTCCTCTTCTTCTCATTATTATTGTTTTTATTATTTGTATTTATTTAAAATGTGTACCATGTAATAATAAAGCCCGAAACTGGATTACTATGATGTATACTGATGTTTTCAAGTTTGAAGTGTAGTTTCTATTATGTAAATATTGTTAGATAACTTAATTATATCTAAATGTAACTATATTAACTGTTACAGATGGAATTCAGTGCCAGTTTTAATTAGTAATTGTTTTTACTATAATATTAGAAATGTATATATTATATTTTGTGTTAGTTTGAACCAAGCTAATACTACCATACTAATATAATAAAATTTACTTTTAAGAATAATATATTTTTTCTCATAGAGTAAAACACATTTAACTATGAGAATATTTTGAGCATGCACCATACCCCTTTTTTTGTAGTTACTGTAACTTTTTTTTATAATTTACAAAGTTTATAATACCACAAAACATAAAATATTCAATATGTATTGATACCATCTACAACTAACTAGCATACATATACTAACATTATTTAAAAGTACTTGCAACATATTCACAACATAAATCATTAATAATTCAATATGGCACATATTTATGCAATATACATAATAAATTAAAACAAAATGCCCTAAATAAGTATTTGTTTAAAAGGAGTTATTTCCTCCATGCAATTCCACAGTTTTGCCTCAAAGTGCCGCTGTTTAACCAAGAAATGCACAGGACTGAAGATCTGTTACACATTTAAGATCTGCAAGAAAGGATACAGTCATTTTCTGGATCCATGTTAGCCAAAATACAAAGCATTTGCTCTCATTGCATACTATACCTAATTTCTTCACTGGATTGCTTTTTCCAAAAGGATTTTGAAGTGGATTTAGATACTGAAAATGCCTGAGATGAAAGAACATTTACAGACACACAACAAAGGAATCAAATGGCAAGTAACAGTTTCATTCCTATTTTCCTGGCTGTGGCATTCAGTCTTTGGTCAGATTCATTACTCTATTGTAGAAGAAATGAGAAAAGACTCTGTAATATCAAATATTGCAAAAGATCTTGGATTAGAAATTATTAATCTGTCATCTAGAAAACTGCAGCTTGTGTCCCATGTTTCAGAAAAATACTTTTATGTGGATCTAGGTAATGGTAATCTGTTTGTAAAGAACAGGATAGACAGAGAGATGCTGTGTGGGAAAGCAACTATCTGCTCCATAACATTTGATGCAATGGTTGAAAATCCCTTGTATTTCTTCAATATCAATATAGAAATTCAGGACATAAATGATAATGATCCAATGTTTTTTCATGATACTATTACTGTAGAAATTATTGAATTTACTCTACCAGGTGCTAGATTTGCTTTACAAAATGCAGAAGATCCAGATATTGGTATTAATTCAGTACAAACATACCAGCTTGGTGATAACCAATATTTCACTTTGTCTGAAAAAACAAGACCAGATGGAAGTAAATTTCCAGAACTTGTATTAGAGAAATCTTTAGATCGAGAGACACAAAATAGTCATGAATTAATTCTTACAGCTTTAGATGGGGGAAGCCCACTTAGGTCTGGGACATCCCTAATTAAAATAATTATTACAGATGCAAATGATAATGTTCCAATATTTTCTCAAGAATTGTATAAAGTCAGTGTCAATGAAAATACTTCTATGAATTTAACTTTAATCAAGGTAGAGGCAACAGACAAAGATGAAGGCACCAATGCACAGATCACATATTCATTTAGTAAAAGCTCAGAAAGCATTCATCATACAGGTATGTTTAGCATCAACTCTACAAATGGAGAAATTATAACAAACAGAAATTTTGATTTTGAGAAGATAAAGAATTATGAATTATCCATACAAGCCAAAGATGGAGGAGGACTTGTCGCCTATGCCAAGGTATTAATTGAAGTTGTAGATAATAATGATAATGCTCCTGAGATTATCATTACCTCATTATCTTCTTCTATTCCTGAGGAATCTGAACCTGGAACAGTGATTGCTGTTGTAAGGGTCCTTGATCAAGATTCTGGGGAAAATGGGGAAATTGACTGCCAAATTACAGAGAAGGTACCTTTTGAGTTAATTCTGTCATCTAACAGATTCTATAAGATTGTTACTACAAAAATCATGGATAGAGAGAAAATATCTAACTACAACATAACTATTGTAGCTACTGACAGAGGCTCTCCCCCACTTTCCAATAGAAGAACCATCATATTAGAGATATCAGATACTAATGACAATCCACCAGTGTTTATGAAATCCACTTATGTTGCTTATGTATCAGAAAACAACTTACCTGGTGCCTCAATATACAGTGTAAAGGCTTCAGATCCTGATGCTGGTGACAACGCTAAAATTATGTATTCAATTTGTAATGCAAATACAGAAGGTCTCCCAGTTACCAACTATTTGTCTATTAATATAGAAACTGGAGTTCTCTATGCTCAGAGGTCATTTAATTATGAACAAAACAAAGAGTTTCTATTACAAGTAACTGCTAGAGACAATGGATCACCTTCTCTAAGTAGCAATATCACATTGATTATCCGAATTGTAGATCAAAATGACAATGCACCAAAAATCCTATACCCTTCACCAGAAAATGGCTTAGCTATGTTTGAGATGGTCCCTTTGTCCTCTGAACCTGGATCTTTAATAACAAAAGTTGTTGCAGTGGATGAAGATTCTGGGCATAATGCTTGGCTGTCTTATCATTTTATACAAGTCTCAGAACCATTTTACTTTATCATTAATGAACATACTGGAGAAATCAGGACAACACGGATCCTTCAAGGAAAGGATATACTGAATCATAAAGCTGTGGTGATGGTAAAAGACAATGGAGTCCCTGCTCTTTCAGCAACTACCACCTTAAGTTTTGTTATTGCAGACAGTTTTCAGCAGGTGGTTCCTAAGATTAACAGCCATACTCATGATGGAAATTCTGATTCAAATCTGCAGCTATACTTATTGGTTGCCTTAGCACTAATATCCTTCTTTTTTATCATAACTATTATGGTGTTTCTCATAGCAAAATGCAGAGCTTCGAAATCCTCAACAACTTCTTTTAGTACAAGTTTGTATCCTCCCATGGATCCAAGAGTGCTCTCCATGTATAGTGATGGAACATTATCACTCCCTTACCCATATAACTTCTGTGTGACTTTGGATTCAGCAGACAATGATTTTACTTATGTTCCACCAAATCAAAACGTCCCTGTGGAAAATTTAATTGATACTGATGAGTCAGGATGTGGAAAAGAAAATGGAAAGGAACCATTGACTGCCAATAGTGCTAACCAGGTGAGTCATCCATCATAATTATGATTTATGACACTATGAGCTGACTTTTGCCTTTAAAAATGTAATGTTGGTGACAATATCACTGATTGTGCATCAGGTTTTGGCATGTTATAACAAACAACATTATGGTACCACCACATAAAGTATCATTTGATACATGACAACCTACATGGTTCTTTTTTCTCATGTATTATTTATTATCATTATTTGCAAATTAATATGCTATTTTCTGTCAAATTTAGTAACAGTAAGATTAAAGTGATTAAAATTAGAGAAATATTTAATAAAGAGTCAAAGAAAGCATCTGTATGAAAACTAACTGGAAAGGTAGACCTCACAGACTTGTTAGCAAATACAATGTAGTTGATATTCACAGTTCACATATCCATAAAATCATTTCCTATCTAAACCCCCTGGAATACTGGAAAAACAAATGACCCTTTATTTTGAAACTAAGCTAATAATTCAAATATACATTTTTCATGGGCAAACAGATTGACATATTGCAACTTTTTGCTGCTGCATTTTAAAACCTAAAACATCTTCATGTGGGTGGCATGTGCACAGCAATCATAGCGAGTAAACATAAATAAAACTATGCTGCGCTGCAAACAAATAAATGAACAAAAAGCATATATGAAGGTGCATGGAGTGTGGTATACACTAAATATGAAATGAATGTCCATAAACCAAGTCCATATAATGTGAAATAATCAGTAATATTGTGAACAATCCAACTCTTCACAGCTCATTTGCTTCGTCATGTGCTCAAAACCCGCACCATTAGATTAGTGCTATAACCATGCAGGCAGTGTCACCTCAGTGCTCACAGAACACTCAACTCAGAGAAATCAAATTGAGCTTAATAATGCCACATCAGTAAGGATTCCTTCACTCTCCCGTTCATTAGCCTTGTAGAAATGGTCAAACATCTTTGTACTTTCAAACAGCATAAAGCCAGATATGGGATTCGGTCCCTTTGGGGGGGGGGGGTTCTTGGAGGTCTGAGACAATCACGCTCAATGAAGGAGACAAAAGGACACTCCAATGGCGCAGTATGTACTAACAAGGGTGTCTTTGTTATGTTAAAAGGTATTGCACTCACATGTAAATATAAGTAAAAATGCCATAAATCTGGTAAGAAACATCACAAGATAAGCTACACTTCCAGGTAGTGTTGGACACAGTTCACTTCTGCCCACAGCCGCACCCTTATGCGTTACATAATGCCCACCTGACTTCAACATCCCTCCCATGATGTAACACATAAGGGTATGGCTGTGGGCAGAAGTGAACTGTGTCTAACACTACTTGGAAGTGCAGCATATATATATATATATATATATATATATATATATATAATATATATATATATATATATATCAAAGTAGAACAACCAAAACTCTTTTAATGCCTGTATTTATATATCAAACATAACATGTACATTTAAAAGTTAAGATATAGCATACGGCATCTCTACAGTATATCACACAAAATCAGCTGTTAATGTATGTGTTTAGTAGGAAATATCCCTTTAGAATCCCAAACTTTGGTCTCTGAGTGTTGCTTTAGAACCATGAGCAAAAAATTATAGCACTGGAAATCCACTCGCATACACTACATAGCTGGAAGAAAACAACAAAACCAATTTCTTGATTTCTCCCTACTCAAGATAGCAAATTCTTTAAACCTATATAACTAGATTTAATGAGCATTTTTACTTTTCTGGATAAAAGAATAATGGCTGACACACAGCTTGAACAGACGTACAAAGAAATCAGATGGCAAGTAATGTTTTTCTTATTTTCCTGCTTGTATCCTTCAGTCTCTGGTCAGTTTCACTATTTTGTTGTATATTCCGTTCTTGTTGAAATGAGAAAAGACTCTATTATAGAAAAAAAATATTGCAGAGTGATCTGGATATTAAACAGCTCTCAGTTAGAAATCTGAAGATAGTCTGATGTATCATAGAAATACATGCATTTTTATATATATACAATGGAAATCTCTGATGTGGACAGAGACGTAGTATCCATATATAGTATCACTATTGTAGCTAAGGACAGATGATCTCCTCCACTTTCCAACAGAAGAACCATTAGAGTGGAAATATCAGCTGTTGATGACAATCTATCATTATTTAATTATCATTTAATGTTGCATATATACCAGAGAAACAGCATACCAGGAACTTCAATTTACAGTGTTAAAATTTTAAATCTCGATAATCTGAAGTTGTTAAAATTAAATTTTACACACAAATACAGGAGATCTACAAATGTCTACTTAACTATTTATCAGTAGAGAAACCGGAGTTCTGTATGCTCAGCTGTTTTATGATTATGAGCAGCACAAACACTTTCTTATACAAGTAACTGCTACAGGCTCTGGATTCCCATCTCTGAGCAGCAATGCCACATTTCTTATCTGAGTTGTAGGTCAAAAAAACAATACACCAAAAATTATGTACCCATCATAAGAAAATAACCTAGATGTATTTGAAATGGTTATCTTTATTTCTAAGCAATGTTCTTCAATAGCAAGGGTGTTTGCAGTGGATAAAGATTCTGGATATAATGCTTGACTGTCCTATTATTTCATGCAAGTCTCAGAACCATTTTACTTTATTAATAAGCACACTGGAGAAATCATGACATCACATGCCTTCCAAGAAAAGGATGTATTGAATTACAAAGCTGTTGTCATAGTGAAGGACAATGGAATCCCATCTCTCTCAGCTACTACCACCTGACCACCTCTAGCTGTCCCTGACAATGTCCAGCAAGTTGTTTACAGCATTAATAATGACATTAAAGACAAAACTTCTAATTCAAATATTTAACTTTATTTAGTGGTTGTCTTATCACTGATCTCTTTGATATTCAATGGTTTTTCTGATATCAAATGCAAGTATTCAAAATCCCCATCAGCCTTGGGATATTTAAGCACTGGTTTGATATGTTGATCCCAGAATGCTCTCCATGTGTAATGATGGAACATGATCACTTCCCTACCCATATAACTTCTGTGTGGCTTGGGATGCAGTAGATGGTGACTTTATTTTTGCATCACCAAATCAAAATGTTCCTGTTGAAAATCCAATGACACCAGTGATTTGGGCTTTGGGAATGAACATTTCAAAGAATTACTGGCTACTAATAATGTTTGCCAGGTAAGTCTGATGGATGAAATAAAACATTGCCTGAATTATTTGATAAAACATGCTATGCGAAGAAACTTGTGAGACATATTCTGAATCCCTCTATATAAAAATATGTGTTATTGTCGCCATGTGGCTTGCTTCTTTGAATTTTGGTCTGTTAATTTAATTATTACTATGCCGCTCCTTTGCAAAAAGTGGAATAGTTAACCTTTGCTCCAGAAAACCCATGGCAATTATGTTTCCACTTTTTAGTATTCATTTTGGACTGATTTATATTTGTATGGAGTATGTTGGGGTTTGCTTGCACCAGGGATTGCAATTGTTCTTTGTTTTTCATAAGTACAGATGTTACAGTGCTAAATGCAAGAGTTTTTGGTCTCTACTTTGGGACCATTTTTGATATCCAATTGGTACTACCAACTTTTTCAAGAATTTGCCCCCCCCCCCCCCCCTCCACCACCAATGTTCTTTATTTCTGTTGTTGGACACAATAAAGGTGTTTGATTACTTTATGGAACTTTAATGGCAAATTGCTGTTTTATTGTTATATATGGCTAGACCCTTTAAATAAGCTACATTATGTTAATTAGTCTGTTATTCTGTATTATTTATTGAATGCATACTTTGTATTTTGCATCAAGGTAAAGTGCTAGAAAATTTTAGCTATTCAAAAATAATAATAATATTCATAATAATCTTCAGTGCTTTTACTGTTAAACAGTTTATTTCATAAGTACATTGGTAAAAAATACACATTTTAGAAAAAATAGAGTTTTTTCTTGCTGTAATAATGTTATGTACATGGATATTTGGAACAAATATAACGTAGGTGTTATCCCAAATTGACTGCAAAAGTGGAAAAACACTTTAAGCTTGCAAATCCAATATTTATCAATGATTATATGTGATTAGCATAACACAGTGCAGCTTCTTACCTAATTCCTGATTATCATTCCCTGCTTTTAATCAAGTATTCTTCATTCCTTTTTATTAACACTCCTTGTTTTCCCCTTAAATGTGCATTATTTTAGATGTTAGACAGAATACAGATGTTTGTTTATTTAAATCCCTAAAAACAACACTATAATGGTTTAATTCAATTTTGTTAGTATTAGATTGTAATTGTTTATTACTTTGAAAACATTTCTTATGACAAAGTTTATTATGACAAAAGGATTTCCGGACAGAATGGCAGACTACATGCCTTAAGGTTCATTCTGTAATATTTTATAACATTATAATATATATTTGGACTAAACTATCTTGTATGGAATAAGTCACTGTTCTGAAAACTTCTGATTTCTTTCAACACAGCTGAGAATAATATTTTGCTAATGATTTGACAAAGAAGGTCAGAGCCTTAATGTGAAATATTTTAAAAAGGAAAAAAGAATAAACTAGATAAAAAAAGAAATAGACCGAACATTTATACAAAAAGAAAAAAGAGGAAAAAGAAATTAAAAAAAAGAAAAAAAAATTAGATTCAGTTACACAGGTCCTGAATTTTGGAGAGAAATTAAAAAAGAGCCTTTGGGTCCATGTATGTAAAAACTGTATTGTTTTATCTTTTTCATGGGACAGCAGACATTCAAGATCACAAATGGCATCTAATTCTACCACCAATTCCACCATTGACTGTATTGCAGTAGATTTCCAGTGTTGAGGAATTACAGCTCTTGATGCTGAAAGGAAATGTCTAAAGAGATTTTTGACTGATATAATATGAGAGAGCCTTATTTTGGGCGTATTATCAACTTTGGTCCCTGTTAACCTGTACTACAAATTAACAATCGTAGCCCCCAATTTTTTAATAGGAGGACATTCCCACCAAAAATGTGTCATAGTCCTCTTGACT